GCTGGTTGGTAGCTTCTTGCGTGATGACGCAAATGCACTAAAAAAGGGCACTGATGCAAACTTGGCCACTCATTGCCGCGAGTGTGCTCCGTTTCAGTAGCTGTGTTCCATGATGCTGGGCAAATGCAATGCCAGGGTAGTAATCCTGCAAGCAGTGACCTCCTTTATCTTCAACCAGGAAGGCTTCTTTACTGAGTGCCACTTGATACAGGTGACCGATTAATGAATGATTGCCTGCACACAGCACTATGTTTCCATCATTATCAAAAGCACATTTGGGGAATGTTAGTGAGGGTTGTAAACTGAAGCTACTAGACATGCTACAGGTGTATGTGGGAGTCTTGGTTTCTTTGCGCTGCTTTCTTTTTCCATAGTGATATGAAAATCGTTCGAAGAGACCTTCGTCTTCCAGGGGACACGCAATAGGCTGATAATGGCAATAAAATTTGAGACGGTACTTTTGTGTATCTCGTCTCATAGTGCAGAGTTTGCAAAAGTTTGCAGAGTGTGCTATGATTCATCTTGTTCTTTATTGTTTTATATATATCTAACACTGAAAATAACTTCTCATCTGGAAGTTAGCACTTGTCCATGTTTTTTTTTGTACTTTCATCCAAACACTTCGCACTAAGCAATGGTGACGTATGCAGTATGATCATCGCAAATAAAACACAACAAAAAAACAGAAAGTACACTGGCACTAAACCAGGGCTGGGCAGAGATGCCCGAAAAAGTATTCCTGAATAGAGATATCAAAATACACGGCTTTGAAGCCTAAAATACAGATACTGAGATACATTTGTAATATACAAAGTGGGATATTTCAGAGACACTTTTGCAAAAAGAGGAAAAAAGTATTCTGGAAAACAGACACAGTAGTACAGATACCCAAATACTTGTCTCTATGTCGGGGATAGTCACTCTCCGTACAGACATTTGTACAGACATCTTTTAACAGTGCAGCCGGTTAAGCCTGTCATAAGTTGTCGATGCTTTCAGGATCAAGCATTTTAAGCATTTTAAGATACTCAGCCCATTGAAATTTGCAAATAAATTCATTCATTATTTTATCACCATACTCTGAGTGCCATTAAGTCATTACAAAGGAGGCTTACACTGCACATAATTACTAATAACAACATACTTACAGATATCAGTTGCAATAAAAAACCGTGCTGTATGATAGCAGGAGTCACACCCATTTTACACCGAAATCAGGATACTTAGCAGCAACAGTATTAGCTATGCTAGAAGTAGCATAGTTCAAGCGAAGCGCTGGAACCATAAACAAAGGAATTGAGAAAAGGTATACTTTATTAAAAGCAGTCAGCATGTGTCTCCAACTAAAAAAAGAAAGTAAGGCTCCAGAATTCCTTGCCACTACTGTGATGGCAGGTACTTATTTTAATGACCATCTACTTAGTAGAGTAGTAGTTCAGGCTAGTTGATTTCCAGTTTTGTTAAGGTGGCCTAGCGCAATGCAGGAGGGGAACACATAAACTATGAAGATGAGCACTTACTTCCAGTTGAAGGTTTAGTGTTTCCTATATAAAAAAAACAGAAAGAACCCGAAAAACAAGGAATGTGGACGGAAACGCAAAAAGAACTTCTTCCAATCACCAATTGGCCACACTTGTTTCTTCCAGAAATGCTTTGGAGAAAGAAGTATCGTTATTGACACATGGAACCACACACCAAATTCTTTGAGTGGTTTGTGGCTTCCGCGATAAGCTCTGGTTTTTCAAATGGGCACGGAAAAAAAAAGAAGAAAAAACGAGAGTACAAAAAGCACTGCACGTTCAATCGGCTTGAGGGAACACATTTTAAAAACAACGCTGTTGGTTGGCCCCCATTGTACAGTATACAATGCTCCTCAGAATGAAAATATCACTGCTGGAATTCAAAATGGCTGTATAACATTGTTGGCAAGCTCAAGCAAGCAACCATTCAAACACGTTTTAGTTCTGCCTGCAGGTGAAATAGGAATACGGATAGCAAAACGACTAGCCCGCTTAAAAGAAGGTAAAACTCAGTTTGGCCCTCAGCAGAAATGTAGAAATTGTGGGTAAATATGTCGCCGTGGACTGCCAAGGTCACAGCAGAAAAAAAATTTTTTCTCCCATTCTAAACACGTCTCAGCTCATTTTCGAAAAAAAAAAAAGTAAGTAGATACCTGTGCCCTAAATAGTATTGTGATAGAGGGTATACATCCCAAAAGTCACAAATACATTTTTCAAAAGTATTTCGATACAGTAATACAGATATATATGATATTACCGCGATACTTTTGTATCGCGATACTGCTTAGCCTTGCACTGAACAGATGCACTACACAGAGGCTTTTGAATTTCAATGTCGTATTTGTACTGATCGTCATGACTATGTTACAACTAGCCCACTTTGCAACATTGCGCAGTATAATCTAACTCAAGTTCCCACATTTAGTGATTGCATGTTGAAAAGTTTAAACAGGTTGAGAACAAGATTTTATGCAGCTGCAATACAGCCAGGCGATGGCTTTCAGATTTACGATTGATACTGAATAAGCAAAAAAGAAGAAGCCACCAAGTGAGCGAACATGGAAAGATTGAATTGTCAGTGGCTTTTTAGCCACTTGATTTATTTCACGTGCACAATAAACAGAAACTTAGGGGTGCACCTATGTACACTTATAGCTTGACAAAAACCAAACATTACGCCAAGTAGAGGTGAAGATGAACAGGGTATCACACACACTGTGACAATATCTTCAGTGAGGAACCACTGTACCAGAGTATCGAGAATGTATATTTTATTGTCACGGAATAAATGTGTAGTACTAATAATGACAACTGCTGGTGTTACATGCCTAAATTACGATATGACTAAGAGGCACACCATGGTGGTGTAAACCACTTGGGTTAAGGAAGGAATGAACAGGAAAGGCAGGGACGTTTAGCAGTCTTGGAGGACCCACCCTACACATGGAAAGGGGAGCTTCAAAGAGGGAGAAAGAAAGAGAGAGGATGCACGCTAAGTCACACTTGGCAGTCATCATTACACAGTAAGTTTACAATCGCCAGTGCAAGTCTGTTGCCTTCAAAAATTCAGCACCACCTTCGTCGCCATCGCCCTCAAAGACCTCTATGGTCGACATTCCAAAATGGCGTCTGCCGCCATCGGTCTCTGATCTGTCTAAGCTATAGCCGCTGCTAGTGATGTTATCTGCACATTGTAGGGACGACAGTCGCAGAATATGTGCTGTAATGTTTCCTTGATACCACAGCTGTGACAAAAGAAGTCGTCAGCCATTTAAATTCGAAAGGATAATGACTTCGTGAAAGACACTCTCATCCATAAGCAGCAAAGCAGAGTGGTATCGTTTCAGCGTAGTCCAGTAATGGTTTGAAGACAAAGTGTTCAGGCAGTGGTGGTGTTGGTAGCACAGTTTACTTGCTGTATTCCTAGTGGAGAAAGTGACTTTTGTGCGACTACTCGAAGTTGGCTAGCAGCATCGGTAGGGGTATCATCTCGACAATGTCCCCTTGAGGAGTTGATCGAGCAGCAATGTCAGCATGTTCATTGCCTATCACGCTGCAGTCCCTTGGCAGCCACTGAAATGTCACGTGGTGTGCTTGCTCAAATGCACCATGGAGGAGACGCCTAACCTCGAATACTAAATGCTCACATGATCTGTGCCATAACACTGACAGCAAAGATTGCACATCCTCATTCAAATCGCTGAAAATTGACCATCCTTGAGGATGTTCACAATTGACAACCTGAAGTGTAACGCGACGAGTAGCAAGTTCTGCAGCTGTCGATATCTTTGGGTGATCTGTCTTGAAACTGATGTTATTAGCCTTCGTTGGGACTAGACTACCACTACTCCGGACGAACACTAAAGTAGTTGATCCGTCGGTAGAGATATGCAAGATAAGTGTACTTCTCATGCAGAAGAATGAGAGATAGCTGCTTCAGCAGTGGTGATGAGAGCTCTGATTTTTTTTCTGATTCCCGGCATGTTGGAAAGCACATCAGGTGGAATTAAGCACCAAGTGGTATCGCTTCCTTAGATGAGGGGCTGAAGCCTGACGGAAGATGTGCTGCATAGTTTGGATTTGTCGTACAATACAATGTCCATGGCCTTTCTGAAGGCAATATTTCAAGGTGGTGACCATGAGCCTGGGAAGAATGCTTGATATGAACTCTCGAGGCTTCAACGGCAACGTGCATTTGTATAGGTTGATCCCGTGCCATAGAAATAGTCGCATTTTGGCAAGCCAAAGCAAACTCTGAGAGCCTGAGCTTGTACAGCCTGCCGAGAACGAATATCTGTCTTACAAGTATTAGTCGGTATGAGCAGACTGAATTGCAAAAAGCCAAGAAACAGTGACCTGTGCAGTACCAATATTGTGTATACCGACATGTTTTTCCACACAGGAACTTGACACGCTGAACTAAAGCATATCACTTCCATGGAGATGTCGGGACACATGACTGCACAGGTTTGTTGTTCAGAGCAAAAAAAAAAAAACAAATACCAATTCAGATGAAAGCATCTCTGGTCATTCACAGATGTGCATACACTCTTATAAGCGTCTAAGCACACATTCTTGGCGCACAGTATCGAATCAAATCTAGCCAGCAGTGAGAAACAGTTATGCGTCAACTTCAGCCACCCGAGATCACCTGCAATGTTTAATATACGGCAATTATGCCAGCTATTAAAGGCTACATTTAGCGCTATGATTACGAATGAAAGCTAAGAAACGGATAGAATGTTCAACACAGGACGGTACCGCTTTGCACTACAAGTCCCGTGGAAGCGTATGGTACCCCGACCTGGACCCGGAGTCCTTAATTTTCTTGCAATCGTTGCAGCTTTCAGTCCTCTGTGATACTCCGAGCGAAAATTAAATAAATGGATCAGTTACGTACTACGTGAGAATGCATGCAACGAGAACGTCACGATGCCAGCATGCACATACAAATGTCGCACATGCAACTTGATTACGTACCACACCGGGACGTCGCTCCTACGCGGCACCGCTGTGGAGAGCAACTGAGCGCGCCAGCAACGCCGATCCAGCACGCATCGCTCGTGAAGAACCGTTACTTGTACTCGGAGTTTTCTGACAAAAGAAGCGGAAGTGGGAACGGGTTTTTTGGCCTCGAAGTACGGTTTGAACACCGCGCCAGCGGCCACACCACGCTGCGTGTTTCCACATTTACCGGTTTGAGCGGAAGACCCAGGCGACACAAATAAATAAAAGAATTAAAGAGGCCTTCTCCTGCCTAACCTTTCTCTTGTTCCCCGACGGAACGATTTGGAAGTGAGACCGTTAAACAAGCGTTTGCGTAAGCGATCGAAACGAACACACCGGGCAACCGGCATGGAGAAGGGGCACGGTTTCCAAAAAACCTTTCCTGACAAATCGCAGATGCCAACTTTCTGGCTAAGTGGACTCACTTCAGTTCACACAGACACCACGCACATCTTCGGAAAAGTTCGCACGCACTTCGCACAGACGGAAGGCCGTGCATCACATACACACTCGCACTGTCGTATTTCTAGGCCCGCGATCTTCCGATCCGGCAATCTGCTGGTGTCCATTTCGCTGGCGCGTCGTGCGCTTGTGTACCGCCGCCTGACTATCTGTTGTTGTTGTTGTTGTTGTTGCCCCTTCGCACTGGCACATACCCACTATGGGGGATTGGCCATGAAATCTAGAAGTATCCTATATGAGATATATTAAAAGGTTTATCCTTAATGAAAAAACTAATGATGTAATAGAAAATAATAATTAACTAAAAAGGAATATTAAACTAAACAAATAATTGAAGATTGAATCAAGAAGAGAAAAGGTGAGGTAATACTACAGTGGAAGACAGAAATTTTGAGTAGACCAGACAATCGAGCTTATCTCACCCGGTCACAATCAAATGAATATGCAAATTTCATTCAAAATTAGACAAGTGTCTTCAGAAATATATTTAAGCAGGCATTATTATGACATGCGCTTTGATTCTCGAATGAAATTGCATACAGCATCGAATACGCTCCTGTGGCAATGTCCCAAGCTAAAGGCACCGAAACTTAGAACATTATCTGCAGTTAAATTTAAACCTACTGCTTGAAACGGAACAATTAAAAGTCTTTTCCTAATTAATGAATAGTTTTTACATGTTATAAAGTAATGCTCTATTGTTTCCGTTTCTTCACAGAATGGACACAGGGGGGATATCGCCAGACCAGCTCTGTGCAAGTAAAAGTTTAATGGAGGGACACGACATCGAAATTTGGTTAAAATAACTTCTAACTTTTTAGATTGACTCCACTGAGGTTTCCAGGGGTATGTTAGGTGCTGATAGTCCGAATATTTAGTAATATTTTCCATAATATCCGTATAAATAGCCCATTTTCTATATCTGATCGACACTATGTGTTCCGATTCTGGTAGTACCGAGATCACAGGGCCATCAAGTGTGGCTCGAGATAGTGAATCGGCTATTTCATTCAACCGTATGCCACAGTGTCCCGGGACCCAGACTAACTTCAGGAACTTCACATGAGGTGGAACTAATGTTTGTAATGTCGCTAGAGCTCTTGATTGTTCTGAAGCTGTGAGAGTAGTACACAGCGAAAGAGAATCAGTAATTATCATTGCACTCTCTTCGTTTGAAGGAAGTTTTCGTAGCGCTAAAATAATAGCCAGGAGCTCAGCTTCGAAAACCGGAGTGAAGTCTGGTAGTCTTACCGAGAATGACCAACCGAGGTAATCTGAGACGATTCCTACTGCTGCCTTTTCTTTATTCACAGAAGCGTCTGTGGCTATTATGTTCTTTATTTCCGCATGAGCTATGTAGTCTTCTAACCTGTCATTTAAGTAACTCGAAGATTGAAACTTAGATAGTGGGGGAAAAATTTCATCACATTCTATCGTAATATTGTGATTTAATGCTTTGGTTCCAATTACCGATCTGATATCCACCTTTATGCTTTCAAGTTTCTTTTGTACAAAAATAATCTGGGGAGTACGAAAGCGTGGCCAGTGAGCGAGGAAGAAGGCGTCGGGGTCACTAATAAAGGCATATGCAGACCGTCTCGCTGATAAGCCGTAAAATTTCAAGTATGTTTGTACTGTTAAGATACGGAATCGGCAAAGAATAGTTGGTATGCGAGCTTCCTGATATAGTACATTAATAGCGACATACCTGGGGAGTCGCAAACACAACCGTAACGCTTCTCGCTCTAATAGAACTAACGGTTTAATTTTGTACGTAGGGCCACCCGAAAATAATATACACCCAAATTCGAGTATTGGGCGCATGTACATTTTATATATCATTAATAAGGTGTGTCTACGTAACCCATATTTTCTGTTGCTCAACCTTCGCAATAAGCCTGAAGCTCGTTGTGCCTTTGCCACGTTATAGTCTATGTGAGGGCTCCAGTTAAGTTTCTCGTTATAAATAATGCCCAAATATTTGATAGACTCTACTTGTGGAATCGGTTCCTGATTATAAAGTACTGAAATTTGAATAGAATCTGCTATAGGGAACACCAGGAGCGCACTTTTACTGATGTTTAGAGACAATGAAATTGAATGCAGCCAAATTTCAAGAGAATACATGTACTTTTGCAATTTTTGATGCAAAGAATAAATGTCACTGTCTGCAACGAAAAATGCAATGTCGTCTGCATAAATGTAGACAGTGATATCTCGTTCAATGGGAATTGAGCTCATCAACACATTGAATAACAGCGGAGATAGGACCGCCCCTTGAGGTACTCCACGTTGCTGTTTGAATTTAGATGAGTGACATCCATCCTTTGCACAATAAAATTCTCTCGATTTTAGAAACTCTGCTACCCAATCAACAATATATCGCGGAAAGTCACATTCGTGTAAAGAATTCAATAAAATTGGGTGCTCAACGCTATCATAAGCTTTAGCTATGTCTAGTGTTACTAGTACCGCGTATTGTCGTCTTTTTCGGGCAAGCTGTATTCGGCTCTCTAAGTCGGCATGAGCACACCAAATTGAGCATTCGCTACGAAAACCTATTTGAAATGGTTTCAATATTAGCTTGTCAGCCATCCAAACTTTTATTCTATTATTGAGAACTCTCTCTATAATTTTGATCAGGTGAGATGTTAGAGAGATTGGTCTGATGTTGTCAATGTTAAAACCTGACCCTTGTTTTTTTAATATGGGAATCACTCTAGCTATTTTCCAGTCATGTGGTATCCAGGCATTGCTTAAGGAATAGTTTATAAGGTTGAGGACGTCGCCGGGTGATATCTGGAATAAAATTTTAATCATAGGAACTGTTATACCGTCAGGACCAGGAGCCGAAGAGGGTAAGTTTCTAATTACGCTTGACATTTCGGACAATGTCACTTTTTCGTAGTCAGTCTTTATAGAGGACTTTTGCCAGTTGATTGTCAAAGTCGACGAAAATCTGTTAGCTAAACCTCTTCCGATTGCCTCTAACGAATTAGTCATTTCTTCCGTCGATAACCTGTCATAATCAGAGTTAGCTAGAGACGGCAGAATTTTGCGCGATCTCATATATCGGAATAACGCTTTCTTATTTCTAGGTTTGGAAAGAAAGTCGAAATGTTTTTTGTCATAGTCTTCTTTAGCTTTAGCCACGGTGCGCTTAAATGTAGCAGCAATAAACTTGTAATCTGCCCAATTTTTGGGGGACTGATTATGAATTAGCTGCTTCCAAGCCGCTTGTCGTCGTCTATGATCACGAGAGCACTCAGAATTCCACCACTGACTACAAGGCTTTCTCGTATCAGACTCAATAGAAAATTCTGCTTTTTTGAACGTTCTTTTAATTACCGCACTTAATTTCATGGCTTTATTTTCATCGTTGTCTTCAGTGGGGGTAGTCAAAGCAACTTCTAGGTCATTTTTAAATTTGGAATAATTGATAAAGGTTCGAGCTTGGGAGTAAGATGGAATAATGGGGCAAGAAATTTCAAACAGTACTGGTAAGTGGTCACTGTTGGTGGCGCAGTCTAGAGTAGTCCAAGATACGCTAGAAATACCCGAGCTTATAAAACTCAAATCTAAGGCAGAGCGGGATCGGTCTCGGATAAATGTGGGAGTTCTAGCGTTGAGGCATGATAAATTATGGTCTATAGACCAGTCCCACAAGCGTTGTCCACATTGATCAGTCCTAAAACCCCAACTAGTGTGGTGAGAATTAAAATCTCCAACCATAATTTTTTCTGTGCACCACGAACTAACAGCCATGTCTAAACATCGCGTGTCTTGTACACCCAGAGGAAAGTAAAGATTTACCAGAGAGAAGGGAGAGCATCCAGGCAAGGTGATGTCTAAAGCGAAAATTTCACATTCGGGGGATATACTTTTGTACGAAGTTTTGATCTTTGAACTAATTTTATTATTGACAAAGAACGCTAAACCTCCACCTTTGGATGGGCGATCCAGGCGAAAAGACCGGAAATTATGTAGGTAAAACGAATTATGTGCTGACAGCCACGTTTCTTGCAGTGCAATAATGTCTGGATTGAATTTACAAGATAAATACAATAAATCTGTACTAGCTGAATGAATAGATCGGCAGTTCCAATGAAGAATTTTGATAGAACCTATCATTTTGACAGAATTGTTTCGGCAACTACCTTATCTAAAATGCTGTCTTTAAGAAAATCGCTCTTCGATAGGTTCTCCTTCTGGTATTTTTTGTTTTTTGAATGTTTTGAAGAGCCAGTATTTTTGGAGACAGGGGATCGAGTGCGCTTTAGGGATTTGATGTCCATGTCCATATCATCATAATCCTGATCATCCTCTAGTATGTCTTCACCTATCCTCTGGTTGTCTGTACAAGAGGGCCCTGCAGCCTGTACCCCTGAAGGAGATGACTCTGCGTCTGCTTCACTTGGTGGGAGAGTTACGTTGTCTTGGGAAGTATCCTTCATATCTCTTGGTGTCCCATATATTTGCGTCAACTGAGTGGCTACAATATGAGATAAGGAGTCACAAAGGGTGGTGGCCAGGCGATCTATAGCTTTCTCCATCGCTTTTTCAATCATGTCTGCAATGGACACTGAAAGAGAAGCTTCTAAAGTTGCATTATGTCGGGCTGCAACACCAGCATATCCCTGGGTTCTTGCCTGAATTTCAGCGATGGCGTCTTTTCGTGAACAGCGTCTGCGATCTACAATTTCCATAATTTGAGTCTCCCGCGCTTTGGCTGAGCAATTAGCGTTATCTGCGCAGTGCTGCTCATGACAAAGACAACACTTTTCTTCAGTACAATTGCATTCATTTGCAGTATGTGCCTCACCACATTTTCGGCATCTGGGAGCTGACCTACATCCTTTTAAAGTGTGTCCATAGCGCCAACATTTCTGACACTGGAGGGGACGAGGTGACAGTTGTTCGACTCTGAATATTAAAGGCCACGCCTTGATTTCAGTGGGGCGAATCGACCCGGCAAATGTGACAATTACAGACTCAGTAGGGATCTTTGTCTGTTCTACAACTCGTGAGCATCTATAAACTGCAATAGCACCTGCCTCAGAGAACATCTCTAGGACCTCAGCTGGAGTCATGTTGATGTCTACGCCTCGGACAATACC